AAAAAAAAAAAAATTTGTAATTAAAAAAAAAAAAAAAAAAAAAAAAACTGCCTGTGACACTCACAGAAAAACAAAATCAAACTAGTCTTATTGTATAATAGCAATTTAAAAATAAACCTATTCAGAAAAGAATGAGGCAATAACCATAAAGCATGTATTTTGGGGTTTTTTTTTTTAACATGAACAGGGGGATTCTAGTTGATGGCACTAGCTCTAAATAATGTTTGATTTCCCTTTAAAAATTTAATATTATTTTCTTGGGTATATGAAAAGCACTAGTATTTTAACAGCCAATAATCACTTTTGGAAACACAAAGATTATGAAGAAAAATTGACCAGAGCCAATTAGTTAGGTACTAGGTATAAGACAGAAGAAGGAAAATACCTAAGAAATAATCACCCTAAATAAGAAAGAGGGAGCAAATCTCCTAGACAGAAGAAAGGTGCTGTTGTGGGGAAAAAAATAACGAGTCAGATTCTACCCTGTACTGTCCACCGGATGTTGCTATCAACCAGGACAGCTTGGCTGCTGTTGAGGTTAGGTGGGCAGAGACAGAGTACGAAGGAAGATCTGAAAAGTGCGTACAACTGAGGGCAATGAGTCCCTGTCTCAGGATTGAATGTCTGTGGTCTAGTAGCAAAAGACATTTATGCTTGAATCAGAATACTAAACAGTACTTGGACTCTACTTCTCATTCTGTCCCTTCTTTCCTCTTTGTTATGAAATTTTGTCTCATATGAGAGTGAACTAAAATCTTTTTTCAAAACTTGAAATAAAAGAAGTTGAAAAGAAAAGAACAATGAGAAGGTGTTTCTCCACGTGAGGAGAGATTCTACCTCATATCCAACCTCTTCAGGTTAATAAATCTTCCAAAAAACCAAAACCTCTTCAATACAAAGAACGAAAATTGTTTTAAAGCGATAGCTGCATATCTTAATGTGAAGCATCACAATGCAAACTGAATGAAATAAAATACTTTCTTTAAATAAGCACATTACTTGCACAGAGTAATCAAGACAAAAGCAACTATTCTTAATGCTTCCCTGCAGGAATAAGTTCTTATTCTCCTATATCTTATCATATTAATCAGGAAATAAGTAGTAGCAAAACATCTAAGAACATCAGGGACCCTAAAACAACACTACTAGAATGAAGTTGGACAATAACCAAATTCTGATAATGTATAAGAAATGAGTGACAGGCTGTGACTAAACAAAAGAAAAAAAATCACTTATAAAATCGCAATCCAACAATAATCCTTCGAAAATATTTCTAAAATTTTATTATTGGTAGTGGGACAAGTGTCTAAAAGTAAAAATACTAGATGTGATTAAATTACAGGAGTGAAAAAAGTAAGGTGTCATTTAATATAATCCATTCAGCTGACTAATCAATCTGTTTTAATCCATTTATGCTGAGGAAATATTTCCTAGTCACATAAACACATTTTCATTTTGAATAGCTAGAGTCTCTGACACTGTCATTAATTCTGTATATTCCAACCTACAAGGGCTCTACACTAGGTGTATCACAGTAATTAAAAAATACATGTTCAAAGTTTGCACAGAGACCACCCATGAATAAAGTGAAATGTAGACTTAAAATTCTGAAATACTACATTAAACAAAATTTTTCTTTTTTTTTAAGCTTTAAGTTATTAGGAAAGTATCCATGTTAATTCTTACTCACCTGGTACTGAGCCATTAATGCCAATGGATTATTATTTTGACTGTTATCAAATGTTAAAACATCAAAAACTCCAACACAATTTACTCGCAACCTTTAAGAACCAGAGAATTTAAAGATTAAAATAAAAATTTTTATTATATACGAATGGAAATTTAACACTTCCTATAATATTAGGAAGGATTTCAGGATATTATTTAGTCTAACTTCCATCCCCACCCTCTTATAACCTCCACCAACCACCATTTTAGAGATGAGGAAATTAAGGCTCACAGACATCAAGTGATATGCCTATGGTTATAAATGTCAGTAACTTATAAAGCCAGGACTATATGAAACATCTTTTGACTAACAGGTCAGTGTCCCTTTCACCACTCCAAGCTGTTTATTAGTTATTCACGAAACAGAACTAGTCAGTTTCCCAACACTTGCTAAAGATGTGTCAGGCACTGTTTTAAGCATTTTACACATACTAACTCATTCAAATCTCTCAATAACATTATGAGACGGGTACCTTATACATGAGGAAAATGGAGTTAATAAATAGTAACTAACAAGGGTATTGAAACAGACAAGTTAAGTAACTTGTTCAAGGTCATATAGATAGTAACTAACACCTGGTGCCAGGTCTTCAGCTCTTTATGCCATGTTGCCCAAGACAACTCTCAAAATTACAGCAACTCAAAACCCGGGTGAAGCTGAGGTCAGTGTTACTTAACTCTTCATCAGTTGTTCTCAAAGCATGGTACTTAACCAGCAGCAACAGAACCACCTAGGAACTTGTTAAAATGCAAACTCTCAGGCACTGCTGTAGGCTGACTGAATAAAAAACTGTGGGGTAGAGCCCAGCAATCTGTGTTTAAAAATCCCTCCAAGTGATTCTGATTCATGCTAAAATTTGAGAACCACAGTTCTACATAGAAAACTACATAGAAAAGTTGTACTGATATTATTTCAATATTCCCCTAACCCAAAACACATAAACCTCTTGGACCCTTACCAAGATTTTTGGTTAATAACCAGGCATTTCATTAAGAATTTAACTTAAAAAAAAAAAAATGACAAATGAACTCAAAGTCATAGCAGTTCTTCTGGATGGAACATATAAAAAGGTAGAATTAAAACAAATCATCATGCTTTATTTACTAAGGTGTTGTAGGTTAGATGCTCAAAAAAGCCAAAACTCAAAACGCTAGTACCTCGTTTTGCCAGTTATCAGAATCTTTGTTGGATCCATAACTCGACATGCCAAACCTGCTGTATGAATGGTTCGCAATGCAGAACTCAGTTGGACAATATACGCCCAAATAAGAGATTCTGGCAATAATCCAGCATGCTGTCTGGGCAATGGTCCATCGTGTTGACCTATAAAACAAACAAATCAAAAGATGACATCTTCATTTAAAGTAATCAATTACGAGACTAGAACATTCAAACCAAAACTAACAAAGAAAATTCATGTATATTCATGGCACAACATGTTAATTGATGTGTGTACAATTTTAGTCTATTATTAAAAATTTAAGAGACAAGCTCAAAGGTTCCTATGTCTAAGATTATATCTTTTATATTGTTAGCAGCAGCAGCAGAGCTCTCACTGAAATGCTCTTGTCTGTGACCACATAATTAAACAAAATTACTTAAAGTGGAGTTCATATTTGTTAACCAAAAAAAAAAAAAATTGTAGAGGTTGTTTTTTATTTAACATATGGCTAACCCTAGCCCATATTTATTGTTCAGCATGTAAGAGCTGTTCATTCTGTAGCTCAAGGGAAATAAAAGTCTCTACCATCACTTACACTGAATATGTACTTTCCTATACTGCTTAGCTTTTCTATTACAGACCTGACGGAAAGGATGATACTCAATTCACACAAACATAAAGGTAAAACACTGAATTTCACACTTTGTGTAATGATGAAACACCAACATAATCTGATCTACCATAAAAAGTAATACTTTTTATTCTATCAACTTTTGTAAGTGCTTTTTGATATTTCTTGGGTCACTGTAAATACTTTAATCAGTAGAAAAAGAGGCATATAAATTAAATCCAGATTTTGTAATTATTTCAGGAAATATGACCTTATATTCATTGGGTTACAACCTGTTGTGATTCAGGTATAAAAGCAACATAGCTAAATGATTAATTACGGAGATAGGAAATAGCAAATATGTACTTATGGCCTGGGACAGAAAAGAATTTCTAATAAGAAGTACATACAGGGAAGGCTGGTTGGCTCAGCTGTTTAGAGCACAGCGTTAAAACATCAAGGTCACGGGTTCAGATCCCTGTACCAACAAGCCGTCAAAAACAAAAACAAAACAAACAAAAAAAAGAAGTGCATACAAAATCCAAAAACTATATATATCTCAGTAAGGATAGATCTGAACATAATATACTCTGGAAAGAAGTGTTAGATGACTCAAACAGTGGCTCTAGTGATAAATGCCAAGGCAATGTCAAAGATGACTATGAAGAGTTTAAATAAAACTATTTAATAAATGTGGTAATAAGAAAAAGGAACACATAGCAAACACATTGTGCTTACTATGTGCCAAGTTCTGTTCAGCTGTTTCACCCACATCAACTCATTCTAAACCTCTTATCAACCCTTGCATGGTATGGTATTATTCCTATTTTCTAAACAGTCTGTTCTTACAATACTTGTATGTGACTTTTTTAGTTTATGCTAAGATAATAAACTACATAGTACAAAATAACAGTTGACTTCCATGCACATATAGTATGTTTAGGGATGTTATTACCATTCAAACAATACTTTAAAATACTAGAAAAAGGACTGATTCCTCTGAAAATGTAAACATTAATATATCAAATAATCAGTCAACACTAAAAACATAATTAAGATTAAAAAAAGAAACTGGAAAAGAATGCTATAAAGGGCCGACCCCGTGGCGCACTCGGGAGAGTGCGGTGCTGGGAGCACAGCGGCACTCCTGCCGCGGGTTCGGATCCTATATAGGGATGGCCCGTGCGCTCACTGGCTGAGTGCGGTGCGGTCAACACCACGCCAAGGGTTGCGATCCCCTTACCGGTCACAAAAAGGACAAAAAAAAAAAAGAGTGCTATAAACTAATCGTTCTCAACAGGGGTCAGTTTTGCTGCTCCCCACCTCCTGCCATTTGGCAATGTCTGGAGATATTTTTAGTGTTACAACTGAGTCAGAGAGGGTTGCTACTGGCATTCAGTAGGAAGAGGTCAGGCCACTGCTGAACATTCTGCAATACACAGGACAGCTCCCACAAAAATAATTATCTAGCCCAAAATGTCAATAGTGTTGAGGTTGAGAAACCCAGCTATAAATTAAAGCCAACAGTCATTTCACAGGTGTTATTACTAAAATAAACTTGAACAACAACTACATTCGTCTATAGGAAAAGTTATACCACATCCTCTTCAACAAAATTAAGCATGTGTCTACAAATGACACGGCAAAAGGAAAAAAAATGACCACACTACATGACCAGATTTTTAATGTGAAACAGCCATGTAACCACAGCTTTCCTTCCAACTGTCAGAATGCATAAAGCAACGTCACAAGTAAACAGAAGTAATATATTTTTATCTACAGTCTTTAAAGGAGTCACAATCAAAAAGATACTCTAAAGTGAACTCAAATCTTTCTCTCCCCTCTTTAACTTCTACCAGTTATGTATTCAAGAAAAATCTTAAAAAGATTAAAGATCACAGTAAAAAATTTGATGCTTCTTTCTTGCCCCCAAATCAGAAAATGGACCTTCTCCATACCCATATACATAAATTAACAGACACCTCAAAATGGATTTACTTTTCTTCTGAAATCGTTTACCCCTTAATAAACATTTGTTAGAATATAATTAAAATATTTTGGTTCTTTGCAAAATTTGAATTATAAAATAATTCTTTAAGAAAATATTACAAAAGGGAAAAAAGGAAAATACTTCAATGCTTAAGTAAAAGTTAAAATATCTATTTTGAGGACTGATTCCCTAAGTAACAGGGAATCCTACCTTTAAATAAAAGCATTTGTTTAGGGAAATAATTACACAAATGATGATAAAGTCATATTAGACTACAAGGGAATCACTAAATTATATTCAGAGAATATAAAAATTAGAAGGAAAATATTTGTAATAAATAAAAGATACCATCTGATAAAAACAAAAAATAAACAATACAAAGGGAGACGAAAACAAAACAAGACTGGAAAGAAATATACCAAAAGATTCATAAAGTGTACTTTGGTGAAGTAATAAAAATTATTTTTCTTTTTAATGTACTGACTTTTCCAAATCATCTTTATTTAGAAAGCATTATATTTTTAAAAGAAAAACATTTTTTAAAAATCAAAAAATTTTAACATATTCCCAGTTATTTCAAACCTCAGATAATCCATGTGAGCCTTCCACAATCCGTCTTAATCTTAGTAAACACATATAATACATTATCTCCTAACTTCTTACAGATGAACACCATTTCTTTAAGATATTTCTTTTTAAAACACAATAGGGCCTTTAAGCTGAATGATTACAGGGGTAAATTTACATGAGTAATATTTTAAAATACAAATTACTCTTTCACAGAACAAAAACATTTGTGAAAACAGTCTGTTTGTATCTTTTTCTTACCCCACTTTCTCTTTGTGAAATAGGCATCAGCATTAGGGTCATTAAAGTGTCTGCTCATCATAGTTTCTCCTCCAGCATGGAAATCATATGCAAACACAAGAGCTTCAAATAAAACACAAACACTCAGTATTGAAATCTGGCTTCAAATAATAAAGTTCACCAGCAGAAAAGCAATCGCAACATACTCACAAGGCTCAGCAAATGCTTTAGTGGTAAATACTTCACGCAAGGTTACAATATTTGAGTGCTGAATTTTTTTCCACATATCGACCAACACCATGCACTTTGTGTTAACAAGACGAAAACCTGAAAAAGAAAATTTTTCTACTACAGTAAACTGTAAATGACATCTCTCTCATATTTCATCAGAAATGTGAAGAAAATGCAATATTACAAAAGTACACTGCTTATGAGGTACTAACTTCCAAATGACAAAATAAATTTATTGTCCTTTAAGTTCATATATTAAATAAATCAATATATTCAGGAAAGTTTGAGTAATCTTAGCCTCAATTATTTGATCATAAAAGAAGATAATTTATCTTCCTTACCGTGTATCCTCCGAAGGCAATACGGCAGATCATCTTTGCTATTTACAGCTTTGTAGCACGATGTAATATACCCAAAATTACTTGATTTCTGTATCCGGTTGGGGGGTGGCAGTGGTTCTAGAGGGAACAGGCTATGGTAGCTGTCAACTTCTGTAGGGACTGCTAGAGTAATTCGTAGGAAGACAACTTTAAATTACAAATATTCATAAATAAGACATCAAATAAACTATAAACCACTCACGTATCACAATACACTTCTTTATCATAGTATAGTGTCAACATTTACTACAATTCTATAAAACACTGTGGCTTCAGTATCGATAAAAATAGGCATTACAAAATGACCAAAGAACAACTGAAGCTCATACACTCAATAATATTTCCTCTTTTATAGCACAATACAAATTTTTTACTCATCAGAAACAATTATTAGAAACAATTTGAGTTATCACTTAGATAACATTTATGATTCTGATGGTGAATAAAAATCAAGATAGGCTTGTTTCTTTAGCATTTTATTTTGTACAAAATGTATTTCGGCAATGATGTTTAACATAAATTCTTATTTTTTAAAGCATAAAGAAATTCAAAACAAATCACATGAAATTGCATTAGTGTGTACACATATGAATATGTTTGTGTGACATGTGTATGTTTGTGTGTATATATAGGTATGTACCTATAAATGTGGCAATCTGTATCAAAATTCTTAAAAACATAAGAACTCAAAGAAATTGAGTTCAAAATAATTAAGAGATGGGCAGCTGATAGCAAAGCTCACTGCAGCTTAATAATAGTGAAAATATTAGTGTAACTGCATAAAAATGGGGAATTGGTTATAAATAGGTATTAGTACAGCCACTCAGTGGGATAACATAGTTTTAATCCCTAGCAAAATATAAAAGAAAAAACAAAACAATTTTTCCACCATGCCTTCCTCAAAGACAAATTATGTTTAAGGATATACTGTTTGAGTATCCCTTATCCAAAATGCTTGGGACCAGAAGTGTTGAACTGTTTCCAATTTCAGATTTTTCAAATTTTGTATTATTTGCATTATACTTACCAAATCCAAAAATCCAAAATCTGAAATGCTCCAATGGGCATTTCCTTTGATCATCATGCTTATGCTCAAAAAATTTTGTATTTTAGAGCATTTCAGACTTTGGATTTTCAGAAAAGAGATGCTCAATTTGTACAGTAAATAGAGATTAAATGCTCATGATATACTGTTAGGCTCCAGAAGCTATATATCTCTAGTTCCAATTTGGTGTTTCATAGGAATAGAAAGTTGTACACTAAAATGTAGAAACCCTATTAAGAAAACTTTCACTAATTCAAGAAGACAGGTTCAAAATGATCCCTTTGCCTTTGCCAAATACTTTACACTCATTATCTCTTAGTTCTCACAACAATCCTATGAGGTAGATTCCCTATTTCATAATAAGGAATATACAGATTACAAATGTTAGAGAGACAGTTGGGATGCAAACCCAGGGCTCTTTGATTTTGTAGTCTTGTGCTCTTAATTCCTAGACAGCATTTTGGCCATAGTACAAAAGACACATAGGTTGATTCGATGTCACTTTCAAACCTAGGTAAAGTGGCATGTTCTACTGAAATAAAGGCAGTAAAGAGAAGTATACACAGAAATGAATACTCATATAGCTGTAACTTTTACTTTTGCTCATTTACTATTTTTTATTTGAATGATCAGTGTAAAGAAATCAAATAATGAATGAATTATGTTTCCTAGCTATTTCATAAGGAGGACTTAATACAGGAAGTAATTTCACATCAGTAAAAATGTACAGAGCACTTAGTATGTATTAGTGAACCCATATTTAATGATATATAGGTTCTTAGGTTCTTACCCTCAAGAGGCTTAGAGAAAAATTAAGGATACAGATTTATATAAAACATACTCAAGACAAAATAGTCATTAAGAAAAGTACAATTCACCATGGCATTGGTTCTTAAACTTAAGCACCTGTCAAAATCATCTAGAGGCTTGTTAAAACATGGCTTGCTGGGACCCACCTCCAGTTTTTGATTCAGCAGGTCCAAAGTGAGGCCCAAGAATCTACAATTGTAACAAGTTCCTAAATAATAATGAAAATGAGGCTGCTGGTCAAGGGACCACACTTGGAGAACCACTGCAGTATGGAAATACAGAAAAGGGAGCTGTTCCCAAGCATATTAGGAAAGATCTCATAGAAGAATTAGCAATTTTACTACAAATTGAAGGAAAAGACTGTTTTCAGTGGGCTAAAACAGGTAGAAAGTGTGCTTTCTGGTGAAGGAGTAAACAGAACAACAAACACTGCATGTGTTCACTGTGGTCAGGAATGGTGAGACCTCACATGCAGTGACAACACAGGGCACATCACAGAGTAGAAATAAAGCTGAAAGAGGTATGCTGGTATTAGATCATAGGGAAATTTAAATGCCATACTAAAGACTTGAAAATTTATTATGCCAGACAGTGGTATTCATATCACCAGTCTGACATAGAGATTGAATGAGGGACACAATCAACTAAAAATCCTATGCTCTTAACCCCTTTATCCTGTGACCACTTTCAAGCAAGTCATACTGAATTCTACAAATTATAGGGAAAAAAAATCTGTGCTTCAGTGGAAAACTATGTATTACCTAAAGGATACCTCTCAGTTGTCAGATTCTGATTCTATGGAAGATATTTTCAACTCTATAAATTGTAGATAACTGATAGCAGTGCAAAATAATTCTTGTCTACACAATGAATATTCTGTCCTGTCCAATGGAGGTTCAATTGACTTCCCTCCTCCCCTGTGGAAACACCAGCTTGCACATTCATTTCAATATTCCTTATCCATAACATGTCTTATGACATATGACTGGCTCCATCATGAGTTAAATAAAATAAAATCTTTGATACATACTCATTTTTATATCTGTATGTCATGATTTTATCTTTTTCTGAAAATCATCTTTTAGTACATTTCCCAGTCTACCCTGAAAGAATTATATGTGGCCTAATATTTACCTTAAAAATTTAATGTTTCCACTATTAGATAGAAATATTCATTGTTGTTCTGTTCTTTGTTTTCAGTTCTATTTAACAAATACACATAATTAAGCATGAATAAAGAAAATAGGGGTATCTCTATCACTGTTGGGCATTAAAATGTTTACTGTAAGAAGGGCATCCTAAAGGTAATAGCCAAGAAGAAAATCAACATGGAAGATTACATCTGGCAGAGGTGCATTCAACTTTTAGCCTGGGACCCAGTCCCATTAGATAATATTAAAAATAATGATTAAAAAAAGGAAATTTTAGTTTCTTTACCCTGTTTAACTCTACTTCCCCTCAAAGAACATATACAATGATAGGACAGATAAGAGATACTGATATCTGAGATTCACTGCAATAAATCCATGGCAAGGTTTCCCAACCTTGGCACTATTATCATCTTGGGATGAACAACTCTTTGTTGTGAGGGATGGTTCTGTACACACTGTGGAATGTTTAGCACCATCCCTGGTCTCTGTCCATTAGTAGATGCCAGTTACACCCTGCTTCTAGTGATGATACCCATAAATGTTTAGGACATTGTAAAAAGTCTCCAGAGGGAGTAAAATAATTCCTGCTTGAGACCCACTGATCTACAGGAAACAGATTGTAATTTCAGAGGCAAGAAGTACTAATTTGATGGAAATATGACGTATGGAATAGAAAATGGGAAAAAAAGAAAAAAAAAGACACAAGACCAAAGATTAATAAATAAGTCAACTTGAGACTTGAAGGTTGATAAAATAATGAACATGAGAAATGAAAAAAGATCAGAGTTAGAGAAGTGACACAAAGAACTATTTATTAAACCATGTTTAAACTCAGGAACACAGGATTTATTATAACCTTTCATTTGTGATGCTCAAATCACTGGTCCGCGTCTATTTATTATAACCTTTCATTTGTGATACTCAAATCACTGGTCCGCTGCTTTAATTTAGTTAATTATCTTTAATAATGTAATAAGCATCTGCAAACTAGGCACCTGAAATGAAAGCACGGACCTTCATTTTAACCTATGCCTAACCATATGGTCCTCTCTACCAACCTCTCTGCCTTCGTTCTTCCTTTCTTTTCCCTTCCTTTTTATATAGTTTATTACATCTGTATGTATTCCTCAAAAGTGTATTATATATATGTATAAATGCATATATACATACATGAAAATGAGTGTGTGTGTGTGTGTATATATGTGTGTGTGTGTGTGTATATATATATATATATGTATATATATATACATATACATATATATATATATATGAGGGTACTTCAAAAAGTTCATGGAAAATTAGGATTAAGAGCTAATACGAATCTTTCCATGAACTTTTTGAAGACCCGTCGTATAAATTTTAGTTAGCTTTTATAAAAAGGCATCATGCTGTATGTAGTCCATTACCACTCACTTTTTTGCTTACTATATTACTAAGATTCATCTGTATTGTTGCATGTCAGTACACTTTCTTAATTTAAACTGCTATTTAACACTCCACTGTGTGACAATATTACAATTAATTAATCCATTGTCCTTGAGATGGGCATTTGGCTTTTTTTTTTTTTCGTGTCCGGCAACAGATCGCAACCCTCAGTGTCGCGCCCGCACCGGACCGGGACCGGCAACGGGATCGCAACCCTCAGTGTCGCACCTGCACCTCACTCAGCCAGTGAGCAGGAACCGGTCTGCATGTGGGATCCGAACCCTCGGCAGGAGCACCGCCACGCTCCCAAGCGGCGCACTGTAGCAGTGTGCCACCGGGCCGGCCCGAGATGGGCATTTGCATTACTCAAGGTTCCTGTTGCTGTGAGCAGTATTTTATGAATATCTTGTACATTTTCCAGTTGAAATGTATAGAATTTGTCTCTATCTATATAGAATTACTGGACAAAAAGATATACAGATATTCAACTTAAGGAGCTTTCTAAAGTGGTTACAGGCTCACCAATCTATACCATCATTAGCAATATATACAAGCACCTGTGGATCCCTATCCTAACAATTTTAAATGCCCAGACTTTGATGTCCAACATCTCTTCATACATTTTTTGGTCATATGGGTTTCTTCCATAAAATGCCTATTCTTCTCTTTTAGCCATTTTTCTATTGAGTTGTTTGTGCTCTTACTGATATCTAAGAGTTTTTTATATTCTTTGCCAAATGTGTAGATTGTAAATATCTTCTTCCAGGTCTTTCTTTAAAACTTTTACTATAGGTGTCTTTAGATAGTTTTTAATTTTAATTTAGTATAATTTATCAGTATTTTCTTTTAGAGACAATAATCTTTGTGTCCTGTGTAGGAAATCCTTCCCAACTAAAAAGTAAAATCTATTCATTTATATTTTACAGTAAGAGTTTAAAAGTTTTGTTTTAGACATGTAAGTTCTTAATCTCTCTGGAGTTGATTTTTTAAATGAGGTTTGAGATAATGATCCAATTTTATCTTTTCCATATATAAAACCACTTTTTCCAATGCCTTCGTTTCCCCACTGATATGCCACCTTTATAAATTTTTGCTAAATTATACCATATTTGATTTAGACATAGTAAGCTAGACAAAGAGATTTTAATGCTATCTGAGAAACACTGTGGTAAAGTCCGCAAAACTTAGGTTTATTTAAATCCTGACTCAGCCAGCCCTTTACTAACCACTGGTCCTAAAGGCAAATACTTAACCTATCGACTTCAGTTTCCTCATATGTAAAATAGAGACGATAATAATATGCCACAGAATGTTTGTGAGAAATAAAGTAAGACACGTAAAACATTTAATTAGCACACACAGTGTGTGGCATACAGCAGTTCAGAAATAATAATAATTACCTTCCCCCTTTGCTTAAGAACCTATTCTTCATTAAGTTTCAGGAAACAATAATATTCTAGTGCACAGTGAAGTAAATCACCATGAATTCTAAAATAATCTATTTTTTTTATATTGTCATGGAGAATTAATTTATATAAACTAGATGATCAGAACTCTTCTGGTACTCTTCTTAATAATGCACAAAAACATGTAGTACTAGATAATAATTGTAATAACCTTTAAGAGAAAGGATGAATCAACTTGCATTTTACCTGGCATATCTGCTTGATCAATTTGAGCCATTGTTATTAAATGTCTGTTGATCAGCTCCTAAGGAAAGGAAACAAGTATATTTATTTCTAAACACAGCTTCTCAAATCTGAATTTCCTATTATAACTGAATATTATTATTTCTGGCATATTTACTTTTTAATATTAATATCATGAAATAACATTTCTAAAGATGGTAAAATGTCTAAATCCCAGTCCTAGACAGACCTGTCCATAATTAAGGTTGGGTTTAAGTAGCTGTGCTATAACCCAAGGCATATGACTAACTCTGTGGCTGAAAACTCAAGGTTTACTAGTAAGATGGTCAATAATTCATTCTAAAAACATGATACTGGTAGAACTTACTTCTGTGACACAAAAATATTGCTGAGAATTTGAGTGTAAAATGAAATTCTACATATCAAATAATACCTAGCTGTTTATCAAAAAAATAAACAAAACAAAAAACTAAATTATTTTATGAAGGCCACTTTTAAAAAATATTGAGCTCTCTCAAAACAAAATTCATTTCTGGGCTAACTACTTACTCTCAACATATACCTATTAGCAAAAAGGTCTTTGGAGGTTAGAAAACATTTAAATTATTTATATACTTCAAAGAACCCTTTCAATAGAAAGGACATAAAGTGCAGAAAGATGGTTCAATTAAATAGCTATTCTATGTTTTATATCCTAACCCATACGTATTTAAAATTTTCTTAAAAAACAGGTTTGCACATACCAATTGAAACATATATTCTAAATT